AAGTATAAACAATCTGTCTTAAAAATAATTAATATCATAATTTAATCACCATCAATCTGCAAGCCATATAAATGTATAATATTGAAAGTGCGATCGATTAATGTATATCTATATTATTYCACAATTGGTTTTTCTTTTAATACTACCGTGTACTATAAATGGAAACTACCGGATTATTGAATTTGAATTTTGACAGGCAAATATATACCTGATCGGTATACGTCAGTTATTATGTCTTTTCAATCGAGATCCAAGTATATACTTATGCTTATTAGAGCTGCAACTCTGCAAATGAGCAACGTTCTGATTTCACATAATTATATTTGAAGCATTTTTGAATATCCCATAGGTAGGTTAGGTTAAAGTTAACAAGACCAGTACAAGAAATATCCAGTTATTGATGAACCTTTATACATATTATTCAAGAAAAATTAAAAAACTTAGTTGCACGCACTTGTACTTAAAATAAAATWAAAATAAAAATATTTGTCCATTAAAAATACAAATTTTTAATCATAACTATACATTAGATTAAGTAAGTAAAATAAAAATATCAATGTAAATGTACTAACTTACAAAAAAATATTTTGGTAGAATAGGTTACCTGAATCATACTACATGTATATATGATTACAATCATGCCTTCTATCATGCCTAACACATGGCGTGATAAAAGCTTAGAAATAAACATAAATCACTACCTTAATTAAATTTAAATTCAATATTTTTCATATTAATTTTCAATGCATGATCAAAAACAAGAAAAAAATGATACATTTATTTATAAATTATCATCGTTTTGCATTTAAAATATGAATATTATACTTATAGGTACATATTATCATAAATAACAATTATTATTAGTAATATGTCAATATCACAAGTTTTGGTTAGAAATTAGAAAATCGGTAGGCGCATAAAACAATAATGTTAGAATTGCATGTGAAATACTATTATATAGTTCGTAAAACGATTTTATAGAATTCGTCAATTCATGAACCATATYCAAAATAAAGTTAATAAAAGGAAATAAAATCATTTTGAGTTCCTACTTTCGGTACCTTTATTAACTTGTATTACCTAGATACTATGAATCCATAACTATAATCTAGTAACTGCAGAAGTTAGCTTGTTTTGCAGTTCACCTTTTAAAAGATGGTATAGTTTCTATATTTTTAAATTGTTTAAAAATGATGATGAAAAATGATTTATAGAAAGATTTCTGACTTCCTGCAATTTGTTGTTAGTTGTCTCTCTTAATGCACCTGAATTTTTACCAAAGTCTACGTAAGATTTTTTCGCAAAACGTGGAATGTTCAGGCAATTATATTATATTGTTATGTACCTATGTATAATATACTCGTAAGACATAATATAGGTAAGTGTGGAATATGACCTATAGGCATATACATATTACATATACGTACTAAATATAGTACTATTAAGTATATTACCTAATATGTTTATAAAATCATAAATATTCAAAAACATTTTAGAGATCAGTATCTCCACAACTCGAGTCTACTTTTTTAAGTATATATTAGATAAATACATAAGAYGTATAATACATATAGCTACATATATTATGTTATAATCACTAGTTATTGTTTTGTATATGATAAAAAAAAAATAGTGATAAATAAACTGACTTTTGCTCGTTTTAAAGCATATTCCTAGAAATCGTTAAAAAACACATTTTACGTGTAAAAATATCTTTATTGGGTCTAATATAACTAAATATTATTTATACTACATAATATATTACATTGACRATATGCGCATTAGATGTCTAGGTCTGACGGAAAGGTAAAGTTATACTTGTTTTTTTTCTTTATATTCAGTGCAATTATATTTATTTTGTTGTAATAAAGCTGTGGAGTTGTATGAGTATAATAAGGTGTTCCGTTGACCATCACCATAGTTATAGTATACCTACCTATATTATCGTGCAATTTGTGCTGTACCTACATCATTATTAATATTATTGGTTAGTATACCTATTAGTACTTATTTATAGCCAGAGGTCTTACAGTTTTGCTTAACCTACAATGTATACATATTTTTGAATAAAAATATAAAAATGTGTTTAAAAAACAGTTATGAAAATAAATCTCAACATTTTTATTATTTGAGGTATTCTGTAATA